CCCATATGCTACTCTGCCACTCTCCCACTTTGGTCAAACCCTCTCTTTTAAGCAAATATTCGACTTCTGTTTCCTTACACTTGGCCTTCTAGAAGTTTAACCACCGCAAGAAACTTCCCACATGTCCTTTCTCATCCTTTGCTGCCCAGTTTCCTTAATTAAAACTTCATCTCCGTAGCACCCGAACCAACAGATCACCGCCAAATCTAAACCTCTCCGAAGATCATCTTCCTTGAGCCATCAACATTAGGATTACCGATTCGATTCTGAACCACAACACACTACGACATCTGACAGCCGCTTCCCCAGCACCATTCACAATACTCTGCCCCAAAGGAGATTTGAAGAAGGCCATAACACTAGCAAACTTAACACATTCAATCAAGGACGACAACATCACATCTCGGATGAAGATTCCACCACACTTGAAAATACCATGTCTCGTTACTCCATCAATCCAACCTGAACATTCTTAGTCTGATTGCCTTTCCCTCCGCTGGAAATAAAACACTGAACCTCTGAATCACGCATTGAGAAAAACCTCATTTCAATTCATTCATTGCCCTATACGTAGACAAGTATCCTACCATTACTTTAATATTGTGCGATAACAACTCATGAACATCACATCAATTGGTGCATAGCCCCAAAACCATCAGAAATACAGCTATTGAGCTGAGATGACAGAACATCCTTCCACAAGGCAATGACATTAGCCCAATCGAATACGCAGGGAGAAACATCCTGCTCTACATCAGTAGTGCCATTAAAATTCCTCGATTCTAAATTTATAACAAGCGCTTCACGTCGCATAAGATTGAATAGGAAGGAAATGAAGGCATAAGCCTCAAAGGAATCAAATCGCACGATGAGGAATCAAGAAAGGAAGTGCTCCTATCAGCCCAGTAGCCTCTCGAAAATAAGTACAGACATCTCGTACCGAATTGCAAGACTCTACTAGACTTGCTCATGACTTGTGATACCTAAGTGAACCTAGTGCTCTGATACCATGTTGTCACGACCCAAAATCCATTAAAGGTCGTGATGGCGCCGAACACCGCTGTCAGGCAAGCCAAAAATAAATACTTAATTAGGTTCTCATTTTAATATTTTTGAAATCATATTTCCTTCAATTAAATAGTAAAAGATGAAATTTATAGAATAAATAATAATATTTTTAATAATTTCAATACATGACAACCTAAATCACCACAAAACCTGGTGTCACAAGTACATGAGCCTCAACTAGGAATGTAAAATAAAATACAACATCTGTCCGGAATACAAATTCGGACAGGAGAAATATAAATACTCTGAAGGAGACTCTGCTGGCTGCGAACTCGTAACGTGGAATGTAGCTCACCTAAGTCCCTGTAATAACCGCGCCTTTGTGCCCACAAGGCCACTAGACATATATACACCTACACAAAAATGTGTAGCAAGTGTAGTATGAGTACGTAAATCAACGCGTACCCAGTAAGTATCCCATCTAACCTCGAAGAAGTAGTGACGAGGGATAGACTTCGACACTTACTATGTGCTATAAATAAAACATCAATGATATAATTAGGCATGGATTACGTAGAACGATTGTAAACACAATATTATGAAATAAGTAAACAATTCTTTTGTTCATAAGAAATTTTCAAATTTATTTTCGTCATTTAACATTTTTGTATCCCAGGCCAATGAAAGCAATATCAATTATAATCAATTCCAAAAAAAATATATCATGCTGAGGTCGTACGGCCCGATCCAACATAATATTTAAATTATGCACTGCCGAGGGTCGAATGGCACGAACTATAGATGCATCTATCTGTTACCGAGGCGTTCGGCCCGCTCCACAAAAGAGAAAACACATTAAACAACCAATTCAAGGTTTATTAAGGACAAATATTCCAAGAAATTTCAAATTCCCATTTAACGGTCAAGTAAATGAAGTTTAACCTTTTACAATTCCTTTATCGAGTTTCTAAATATTTTAAACAATTAATTTAACAAGTAGGGCACAACATCACAAGTACAACATGATATGAGTCCTAGACTACCCGGACATAAGCATAATAGTAGCTACGCTCAGACTCTCGTTACCTCGTGCGCACATAGCCCCCACAAATAGAAGTACATAATGATTTGATTTACCTATGGGATTAATTCCCTCTTACAAGGTTAGAAAGGAGACTTACCTCGCTCTGAAATTCCATAACCGGCTCTCAAGCCCTTCCAACAACTCAAACTGATGCCCAACGCTCCAAAACTAGTCAATAAATGTGCAAACCCATAAATATATACTTTAATACTCATTATAATTCAATTTAAACAAATTTCCAACTTCACTCGAAAAGTAGATAAAATCACCCTCGGGCCCACGTGCCCAGATTCCGAAAATGTTCGAATATAAACTTTACCCATAACCTCACGAACTCAAATATATAATTTATTCTCAATTCAATGCCCAAATTCGTGGTCAAAATCCAAAAATACCAAATTCTAGGTTTTCTACCAAAAATCCCATAATTTCTACTAACTTCCATGTTTAAATCCTTATACAAACCATGTATTTAACCTATAATAAGTGAGAATCACTTACCTTGTGTTGCTTGATGAAACCCTCCCTTTGAAGCTCTCCAAAATCGCCCCAACCAAGTGAAAAATAGAAGAAAATGGGTCAAGTCCCGTCTTTAAAACAATCTGCCAAGCTGACCTTCCGCATCTACGGTACACCAGCCGCACCTGTGGCTCCGCACCTGTGGAAAATCCATCGCAGTTATGGTTCCCTCCAAGCTAGGTGAAATCCGCTTCTTCGGTCCTCCACGCGCTTCTGCGCCTTCGCATATGCTGATGCCCTTCCGCTTCTACAACCATGCTACCCCTCTGGCATTCTCGCACTTGTGACACTTTACCGCATCTGCGACCTCGCAGGTGCGGACAACCCTTCGCACCTGCGATTACTGCCCTACTTCGCCCAAACCGCACCTACGTCCATTTCCTCGCCTCTGCGGTCACGTACCTGCGGTCAAACTTGCGTAGGTGCGATTACACCACAACTGGTGCACTTCAGCCATTCCTTAAGTCCAAAACTTGCTCCATTAACCATCCGGGACCCACCCGAGGCCCCCGGAACCTTAACCAAGTATACCAACATGTCCCAAAATACATTACAAACTTAGTCGAGCCTTCAAATCATGTCAAACAATGGAAAAACCATGAATAGCACTCCAATTCAAGCTTAATCAACTTTAGAACTTCAAACTTCTATATTCGATGCTAAACCTATCAAATCACGTCCGATTGACCTCATATTTCCCACACAAGTCATAATTGACATTACGGACCTACTCCAATTACCGAAATCGTATTCCGACCCCAATATCAAAAAGTCCACTCCAGATCAAACTTCTCAAAAACCTTCAGATTTCTAACTTCCGCCAAATTACCCCGAAATGACCTACGGACCTTCGAATCCACTCCCGGACGCGCTCTGAATACCAGAATCACCATACGGAGCTATTCCTAGACTCCAAATCCCAAACGAACATCGATAACGTTGAAATACACCTCAACCCATCTTTTATGAAGTTTCTTCTAAAAATGCCAACTTCCACAATAGGCGCTGAAACGCTCATGGGTCATCCAAAACCCGATCCGGGCATACGCCCAAGTCCAAAATCATCATACGAAGTTGAAACCTTCAAATCCGGATTCCGAGGTCGTTTACTTAAAAATCACACTTTAGTAAATTCTTCCAACTTAAAGCTTCCGAAATGAGAATTTGCTTTCTAAACCAACTCCGAATTTTTCAAAATTTAATTCTGACCACATGTACAAGTCATAATACCTAAAGTGAATTTGCTCAGGGCCTCAAACCACTGAACAACACGCTAAAGCTCAAAACGATCGGTCGGGTTGGGTCGTTACAAGTAGTGCAGGCAATATTCGAGGACGAATGTTTTTAAGGAGGGAAGATTGTAACACTCCTCAAATCTATAAAAGTTTCAACACGCGCTAATTATAGAATTTAACTTTTTAAATCTTGCCTTGAGTGCATAAAAATTATACTTCTATCACGGATTTAAACCCTGGTGATTGACTTTGAGTTACTTCTCTATTTAAAAATAATTGGATATACAATTAGAGAAATATTAATAATTTTAATATTATTAATTATTAAAAGTGGGTATCATTAATTATTAATTAAGTTAAAATAAGAAAAAAGGGGTCAAAATAACAAAAAAGGTGGGGGCCAGCCTAAAGCCCATAAAATGGGAAGGCAAAATGCTTAAAGCCTTAAACAATGGATTTCTATCACTCACGCAAAAGGCAAAAGGCAAATGCCTTATACGAAAAACAAAACTAGTGTTATGTTCGCCCACGAAACAAGAGCCACGAAACAGAGGCTGCTTACTCATGCAGGTTTTGTGTTTCTTTACAAATCAGTAGTTCTTGAACTCAGGTATATAAAATTTTCTATTCTCAATTATCTTACAGTATAAGAATTGGATAGTTAATTCCCTTCTTTCTCTATATCAACAGTAAATTCCATGTTAAAGTGTGAAACTTTAAAATTAATTAAAAGTATTTGGTTAAAGTATTGCCTTGTTGAATATAAAGTATGAAGTTATAATAGATTTGATAAGCGCAGATGGTTCGCTCGGTCAAGTTTAGTGATCGGGTGCCGGTCACGGCTTGTTCAGAAAATGGGTCGTGACAAAAAATTTGAATATAATGAATTTAATGACATTTTATATGTTAAATGAAATATAGGTTTTTGCCATCCTTTCAGGCCACGCATATAGTGATGGAATCTATAAAGCCATTATTTCATGAGCCGTGGAATTCCTGGAGACAGATACCGTACCAGATCAGAATGAATATGTGGCAACAATTTAAGTTAAGAATAAATTAATTTATATATTTGAAGATTGAATAGGCAAAGTTAAAAGAGCTTCTATTAAGGGTGGAGCATTGCATACCAGCCCATCGNAGAAGGAGGAGGAGGAGGAGGAGGATGACGACACAAGAGAAGGATAGATCGAACCGCGTGCTTCAGAGATATTTGTATGATCCTAACACAACCACTATATTATTTTTCCTTCTTGGTTTATTTTATTTATATAACATGTATAATTTTTATTTCATGACAAGTATCATATTGATCTTGATGCATGGCGACAAACTCAGCCTAAAGGAACTCAGCCGGCCCCGGAGGATATGACTGCAATTTGGACACAGGCGGCTGGTGGCATGAATAAAGGTATAAATATTATGTAATTATCTATTTTGGTATTAATTTGAAAGTTGCTTGTTTTTTTTCTTAGTTCTTTTACTTTCTTTTCTTTATTTCTCATAAAAATAATAAATAAAGGTCGAGTCTACAGGATTGGAGTACAGCCATCCTCCAGGCGTCCACCAGCAGTATTATTAAATGGAGCATTAGTTTTTCAAGAAGACATGGAAGCTATGCGTCAAAAATTGGATCAAATGTCGTTAGAATTTCAAGCAATTTGGGCTTTGATCCAAAATTGTTAAAAAGGAAAAGCAAGAAAGGAGTTGCAATGGAGTCTGATTTTGAGAAGGAGACTGATTCTGAATAGGCTATTTTAATGTTTTAGAGTTGAAATTAGAGACATGTTTAATTTATGTTATTTGATAGTTGGTTGTTTGATTAGTTGGTTGAATTGTTATAAATATTATTGTTCGTTTTATAATTGGATTTTGGATTGTTATATTAGCCTTTTGGATTGTTAAATTAGATTTTTGGTTAATTGTTAGGTGTTTGGTTGGTTGCTTTATTTGGTAGGTGGTGTAATTAGAATTACATCAGGATTCTGCTTAAAACTACCCAGATTTGCGACTAAATCAGTCGCAAATTTCACCAGAAATTACCCAGATTTGCGACTGATTCAGTCGCAAATTGAGAATTCCTAACAAAAATAAATTGAGATTTGCGACTCAATCAGTCGCAAATGGAGAATTTTCGATATTTTCAATTAATTAATAATCAATATTCATAATTGTTTCAGTCGGAATAATTAATTAAAAATTAATTTATTTTTTAATTTTCCGATGGAATCAGTAGAAACTTTTAATTTATATTAATTTTTTAAACTCTGGTCAGTGACTGAATCAGTCGCTAAATTTGTGACTGATTCGGTCACAAATGGCTTAATTTCAAATGTCCTTGTATTTTTTAGTTTGCAACTGAATCCATCGCAAATTTTCGACTAACTGATTCTGTCGCAAACATATTGCGATCACGTGTTTTCCGACTGACACTTTTCAGTTGAAAATCTGTCATGAACCAAACTAACCCCTGTCGTGATGGCGCCTATCATGGAACTAGAAAAGCCGACTCATTTCCAAAACAAACCGATATTTTCATTTCAAAAATAATTTCAATGTTATTTAACATAAAAACCTTCGTAAAGGAGTTCCAATCAAAATAAAAGTGCGGAAGGAAAAGCCCGACATCGGGGTGTCACTAGTCATGAGCATCTACTACAATCTGTTTAACAATATCAAGACTAACTCAATCTGAAAAATAGCTAAATACAACTAAAGAAAGATAAGAGGGAGAAGAGCAAGGCTGCGATCGCCAGGCAGCTACCTTGCTATCCCCGGGAAAATCTGCAATCAGAACAATCAACAACCACTACCGTGTCCAGCTATACCTGGATCTGCACACAAGGTGCAGGGAGTAACGTGAGTATGCCAACTCAATAAATAATATCAATAAAGAAAGACTGAGCAGTAGTGACGAACAATAAAGCATATAACGTTCATATCAGAAAAACTCAGTAAAATACCACATGCTTTTAAAAATGAGGATTTGAATCAAAACAACTCGTTTAAACCCAGTTCCAGTAAAAATCATTTAAAGATATTTTTCAGCAGTTTTCAAACAGAGGAAAAATGCAAAGGTGAGCAAAAATGACGAAATCATAAACAGCCCCTCGGGCAAAACATAACTCACATACAGCCCCTCGGGCAAACCTCACAGTCACTTGTGCCAGTCGGGCATACCTCACAATCACTCTTGCCACTCGAGCATACCTCACTCATACCTCCCAGTCACTCAGCACTCGGCACTCGGCACTCGCACTCAGTAGGTACCTGCGCTCACTAGGGGTGTGTACAGACTCCGGAGGGGCTCCTTCAGCCCAAGCGCTATAATCTGCACGGACAACTCACGTGCTATAATAATAAAGTATGTTGCAGGCGATCAGCCCCGATCCACACTCATCCTCACAATCAGGCCCTCGGCCGATATCAAACATGCTACAACATGCAGCCCGATCCCATAAATATGCAATATGCTGTGATGCACAGTTCGATTCCATAAATATCCTCACAAATCAGGCCCTCGGCCTCACTCAGTCATAAACCTCTCAAGCCACTCGGGCATTTCAGTAAAACATGGCATTCGACCCAAAATATTTATATGCATCAAAATAGAGTCATAAAATTGAGTTATGCGGTAAACAAGTATAAACATGACTGAGTATAGATTTCAATCAAAAACAGTGAGAGGATGGTAAGAAAAAGTCCCCTAAGGGTCCAAACAACACTGGCACAAGGCCCAAACATGACATTCAGCCCAATTTATAGAAACTCTTTCTAAAACATATAAGTATCATATAGTTTCAACGAAGTATGCAACTTTACAATTGCTACGGGACGGACCAAGTCACAATCCCCAACAGTGCACGCCCACACGCCTGTCACCTAGTATGTGCGTCACTAATAATAGTAGAATGATACAAAATCCGGGGTTTCGTACCCTCAGGACTAGATTTACAATCGTTACTTACCTCGAACCGGTCAAATCTCTACCCCTCAATGCTCTTGTCTCTGGACTAAACCTCCAAATGCTCCGAATCTATTCACAATCAGTACAATACCATCAATACGCGCTAATGGGATGAATTCCACAAGAAAAGCTACAAAATTAGACCAAAACCCGAAATTGGCTCAAACCCGACCCCCAGGCCCATATCTCGAAATACGACAAAATTCACAAAACTAGAAATCTCATTCACTCACGAGTCTAACCATACTAAATTCATCAAAATCCAACATCGTTTGGTCCTTCAAATCCTTAAATTACTTCTCCAAAAATCCCAAGCCCTAACCCCTCATTTTCACTATTATAATGACTAAATAACGGAAAATCACCATATATACAAGTATTAGGGCTCAATAAACTTACCTCACTGATAGCCCTTTAATCACCCTTCAAAAATCACTCCAAAAGCTCCACAAACCGACTTGAAAATGGTGGAAATGAACCAAATTCGCGAAGGGTTCTATTTATGATTTCTGCCCAGGTTTTTCGCACCTGCGGGCTCTTTTTCCGCGCCTACGAGACTGCACCTGCGGTCAAGGCGCCACATCCGTGAACTCCACTTAATTCCCCAGCTTCCGCACCTGCGCTCCAGGCCTCGTATATGTGGGCTTGCAGGTGCGGCCAAATCCTTCGCACCTGCGCTCCAGCCTTAGCCTCACATTTTTCCGCATCTGCGCAGCAAATTCTCGCGCCTGCGAAAGCGCACCTGCGTGTTTCCTCCGCTTCTGCGAAGCCTGCCCAGCAACTCCCTTTCCGCATCTGCGCCCCAGGTTTCGCACATGCGGGCTCGCAGATGCGACCTCCAACTCGCACCTGCGCAACCTGCCTAGCCCAGCATTGCCCGAACCTGCGAACTCCCCACGCGCACCAGCGGCCTCGCACCTACGGCTCTTTCTTCCGCAGGTGCAAAAATAGAAGTAGCAGCAGCTTCAGCTGCATTTTTCAACTTCAACAAATCCGTTAACCACCCGAAATCACCCTGAGGCCCTCGGGACCTCAATCAAAAATACCAATAAGTTATCAACATACAAACTTAGTCGAACCTTCGAATCACTCAAAACAATATCAAATCACCAAATTACCCTCGGATTCAAGCCTAAGAACTTCTAAAATTCCAAATTCGGCAACCGATGCCGAAACCAACCAAACCACGTCCGAATGACCTCAAATTTTGCACACACATCACAAATGACACTATGAACCTACTCCAACTTCCAGAATTCCATTCCGACCCCGATATCAAATTTTTCACTGTCGACCAAAAATTGCCAAATTTCCAATTTCGCCAATTTCAAGCCTAATTCTACCACGGACCTCCAAATCGTTCCGGACGCACTCATAAGTCCAAAATTACCTAACGGAGTTAACGGAACCATCAGTATTCAAATCCGAAATCGTTTATACATAGGTTTATATCCGGTTGACTTTTCCAACTTAAGGTTCTAAATAAGAGACTAAGTGTCTCATTTCACTCTGAAACCACTCCGGGCCCGAACCAGCTAACCCGGTATATCATAATATAGCTTAAGATCATAAAGAAAAATAGAAATGGAAAAACAGGGCTATAACTCCCGAAACGACCGGCCGGGTCGTTACAAAATCCGTCGGAAAAAAACACGATTTTCGACCGATGTTTGACTGATTTGATGGTCGCAAATTTTCTATTTTTAGTAGTGAATGCACTTGAACTCAAAGTTGCTCGCTTCAAATTTTCTGGGACCTTGTAATAAATTTTTATCGTCCTCTTAGCTTCCCAAACTATCTGGCTCAGTTTCACACAATTCGGGCTTTAAATAATCTCAAAATGTCTAAACATTTACTTATTTCCCCAAATGCCTCTCTATCGTCTTCAAAACTTGTTTCATTGTTTTATGATTAGACTAACTTTTAAGACCAGACTTAAAATTCCACATGAGTTCTATGTCACTAGAGTCAGCATGAAAAGAACTATAAAAGGAAAAGAAAACTAAACAAAAAGGACTAGAAATAACAAAAAACAGGGGATTGCATTAAACCGATAGTGAAAGGGTTTGAACGACAAAACAAGCAACACAAAACTTGGGTTACAACCTTGTAACAACCTAAATAACACTATGAGTATCACTCTCACTATCAGATTCACTACAGTCAGTACCATAATCAGTTATTATTGGATATGATTCAGTGTTATGAACATTATTATGCATATTAATAAACTCTTCATACTCGTCAACATCATAGAAGTGAAGTGTCTTAAATTCATCTGAAATTAAACTCAGTAAATGCCTCTTCCCATCATCATTTTCTATCTCATAGTAATTACCAGAAGGGCCATTTACAATAAGTTGTTGAACACCTACATACCCAACTCACTAGTGTATGTAATTTCTAGAAGCTTGAAAGAAATAAGTTCATAATCATACCCTCTCCAGATGTGGACCGGCTTCTTTGAATACAAGACCTGAGGTGTTGTAATCCAATCACCACCATAATGCAACATTATGTCAACCAAAGGCATACTTAGCAATTAAATAACAATAAGAAAACTAACAAAGATAATCAATAAACAAATTATATAACAATAAATAAACCTACACATGAGCTAATAAAGAACCTAAGGAAAACAATTAACAAATCAGAAGAAGAATAAAAAAAAAAGACAGTGAATTTGGTGGACCACAGACATATGCAACAAAATAGGAGACGAGAAACATTAACAATAGTAAAGTCCCACTAGCACTAAAATACTCAGATTCTCTGTTACTTTAAGGGAACAACATTCATCATATACAGACAAAAAGAAAGCTTAAGTCGCAAATTGTAACCCCACATTCTCAGCCAGAAAAGGCACAAAATCACAATCGGGACCACCAATAGAAGAAGAATTCCCACAATAATGTCAACCCGTAAAAACCCTAACATAAAATAGCTTAAATAATACATGGAGACACATAACAACATAGATATTGTCGATTTGAGTTCATGTCGAAAACCGTAAAAACATAAAACGATTTAAAACCAAAGAATCGACTAGACCGAAAACCTAAAAAAAACACCAAGAAATATACATAGAAGAATCTTAAACAAACATGAAATGGAAGATAAACTAACCTTTTGAAGAAGAAGAAGGAGAAGAAGCATAAAACGACAGTATTAATGTCTTTCTAAAGGCTATACGACCTAGGGTTCGCAAGTTAATTATTTTCTCTATGTTTTTTGCTTAGCAATGATTTTGAATTGGGGTTAGGTAAGGACTAGTATGTTTAAGTTAGAGGGGCTCGAGTGGATCGGGTTAAATGGGTTTGATCGGCTAATTTTAATGAGATATGTAGTGGGTGATTTTAGAGCAATAAGATAATGACACGTGTAATTATTAATATCATATTAATAAACTAACGATTGAGGGGTATTTTAAATAGCAAAGTAAAATGGTAGGGACCGTAGTATCACAAAAGTGAAATGGGGGTACATATAACTTATTTTTAATAATAGAGGGGGATTTCATGCCCTTAACCGAATAGAGAAGTAATAGAAAAATAAGGAAGTGATTAAGAGTAATAAAATAATCTCGTTATCCAATTCGAGAGGGATCCTTAACCGCATCAAAGTTTATATTCCATATGAAGGATTTGAATAGCTTGATATGTCTGCATCCAAGGTTCCCTTCATCAAATATATAAATTAAAAACAAAACAAAAGTTAAAAAAAGTTTTAAATAAAAAAATCAACAGGAATCCAAAGGTTTCTTCTTTTATTTCTAACCGAAGATTCAAGTTTCATTTTTTAATTTTTATTTTTCAACAAATTAAAGGTTCAAGTTTGGCCACTGCACTAATTTTTGCACCGAAACTGTATAGCAGAACTCAAAACTCTTTACGTATTCTAACATATAATATTCGCTGAACCTTCCCTTATTTCGTACAAAAACTAACGTTTCTTTTAATTTCTTCTTTCTTCTTTCTCCTTTCTTCTCCAATACTCTCCGCTCTCTCACACCACCCGCCACCTCAACCGTCGTCCCTCCGCCTCCTCCGCCGCCTGAGTGACGTTATTCAGCTAATCAGCTTCTTAACGTAATAGCTGTTCAATTTTGTAACCAACTTACTCTGAAATAGAGAATGGTTCTAATTAAAGAGTTGTATCCTTTTACTTCTTTTCCTTATGTGAATTTACCATTTTTCTCCCTTTTATCAGTGCTTGTTTATGTTTATATTTTATCCATGCTTAAATAATATTGATAACTAGATGATCATCAAAGCAATCCTAAATTATACTTGCATGCACTAATCCATAGTCAAAAAGTCAGGAATTTCGTCAAGGCTATCAAATATATATATATATATATATA